GCTCTGGCTCACTCAGGCTGGGGGGAGGGAGGGGTACGGAATGCGGGGTGAGCCTGTGGCCGGCAGAGGCCAGCGTGACGTTGCACCAGCCTGAGGTGCCCCGTGTGTTCTCCCGGGCAAGTTGTCCCTGGATCATGGGACCCTGGCAGTGGCGGGCTGCACAGTCTCCCAGGAGGGTAGTGACCTGTGCTTGCACACAGGCTTCTTGGTGGCTGCAGCAGCACCCTTAGCGTCTCATGCCCGTCTCTGGGGCCCGCGCTGATAGCCATGGCTCGCAGCCGTCTCCGGAGCTCGTCTAGGTGGTGCTCTTAATTCCCTCTCCTCGCACACCCCGAAACAGTGGTCTCTTGCCTCTTAGGCAGGTCCAGAGTTTTTTCCGGACTCCCTCCCGGCTAGCCGTGGTGCACTAACCCACTTCAGGCTGTGTTCATGCAGCCAACCCCAGTCCTCTCCCTGAGATCTGACCTCTGAAACCCGAGCCTCAGCTCCCAGCCCCGCCTGTCCTGGTGGGTTAGCAGACAAGCCTCTCGGGCTGGTGAGTGCTGGTCGGCACCGATCCTCTGTGCGGGAATCTCTCTGCTTTGCCCTCTGCACCCCTGTTGCTGCGCTCTCCTCCGTGCCTCCAAAGCTTCCCCCTCCGCCACCCGCAGTCTCCGCCCGCGAAGGGGCTACCTAGTGTGTGGAAACTTTTCCTCCTTCACAGCTCCCTCCCTGAGGTGCAGGTCCCGTCCCTATTCTTTTGTCTCTGTTTTTTCTTTTTCCTTTTGCCCTACCCAGGTACGTGGGGAGTTTCTTGCCTTTTGGGAGGTCTGATGTCTTCTGCCAGCGTTCGGTAGGTGTTCTGTAGGAGTTGTTCCACATGTAGATGTATTTCTGATGTATTTGTGGGGAGGAAGGTGATCTCCGCGTCTTACTCCTCTGCCATCTTGAAGGTCTCCATTCACCCAATTTAGATTTAAGTGATCGCTAAGTTTTCTTCTGTCTCTGCAATCCTATGATTCAGTTCACAAGAGACATCATCTTTAAAGCCTGGGTATAAATTCAGCCATGGTATCTTAAGCCTCTAAAATCTCAGTATCCAGAACACCAAAAACCCTGTTAGAATGCAATGAGAATATTTGTATGTTGGTGACAGAATGGAAAGTTAAGTATAATAAAGTGCTTTTCCTTAGAAGTACATATATGTATGTTTAATTTCCTTTATGTTCCCAGAATTGCTCCATATCGTGGTGGTTAAGAGGATTATAAAGAGTGGTTATAGAGAAAGATGTCGGCAAAAAGCCCAAAATTCTGTTTCTGAGGGCAGATTATCTTCTTTCTGCCTTACTGGACTATGGACTACAAGTACAAAGATGTAGTCCAGTAATAATGAAGGACAATTGCATATGTAATAAATTGGAGGGTAGCAATAACATATTATTTCAGGCTTCTGGCACTATTATTTTAGCAACTCAGCACATTTCCTATCCTTTTCTACTCCTTTAGTGCAGACTGCTTCTTCTCTTCACACAGGGATCAGCACAAGGACTAATAGGGGCTTCCCTGGTGGTGCAGTGGTTAAGAATCCACCTGCCGGGCTTCCCTGGTGGCGCAGTGGTTGAGTCCGCCTGCCGATGCGGGGGACACGGGTTCGTGCCCCGGTTCAGGAAGATCCCACATGCCGCGGAGTGGCTGGGCCCGTGAGCCATGGCCACTGAGCCTGCGCGTCCGGAGCCTGTTCTCCGCAACGGGAGGGGACACAGCAGTGAGAGGCCCGCGTACCACAAAAAAAAAAGAAAAAAAAAAAAAAAGAATCCACCTGCCAATGCAGGGGACACAGGTTCGATCCCTGGTCCGGGAAAATCCCACATGCCATGGAGCAACTATGCCTGTGTGCCACAACTACTGAGCCTGCACTCTAGAGCCTGTGAGCCACAACTACTGAGCCAGGCAACTACTGAAGCCTGCGCACCCTAGGGCCCGCGTGCTGCAACTACTGAACCCGTGTGCTGCAACTACTGAAGCCTGCATGCCTAGAGCCCATGCTCTGCAACAAGAGAAGCCGCCACAGTGAGAAGCCTGTGCATTGCAACGAAGAGTAGCCTCTGCTCACCGCAACTAGAGAAAGCCCGCACACAGCAATGAAGACCCAGCGGAGTCAAAAAAGAAACTCATAGGGTCCGAGAGCTCCGTTCACCTGGCTATTGTGGTTGGTTCAGATATGACACATGACCCAAGCAAGGCCAGTGAGAGCCCTTGTCTAGGACTTTACTATAGTGGAGTCAGTAGGGAAAACTGCTTTTGCTTCTGTGTTCCTGGAACTGGAAGGATATCTGTGTCTCCAGCAGGATAGCGCAGGCTCGCTCACATGGTTGTTGTAGGTTTCCAAGAGAGTGAGTGGCGCATGAGGTCCTCTCAAGGCCCAGACTAGGCACTGGTACTTCACTACTTCTGCTGCATCCTATTGGCCAAAGTGCAAGGCCAGCCCTGACTCAGAGAATGAGGAAATAGTCTCTAGTTTTAATGGGAGGAGTTGGAAGCCAAAGGGAATGAGTATAGGCAGGCATGGAAAAATGGGACCATAACTCATTTACTAAAAAAATTATTATGTACATATACTTCAAAAGTTAAGAAATTTCCTCAAGGTCACATGGCTGATAAGCGTTAGAGACAGGATTTGAGCCTTAATCTCCCGACTGAAAATCTCGCTCTTTCAGTATTTCTCTCTAGTCTTGTTGACTGATCTATGTAGTCCAGATGTCACAACTTAATTAGTTTCTAAAGCCCTGTTCTGAGATCACTTTTGAATGACTTGTAAGTTATTATGATGAGTTCTTTATTATAGTAAAGGTATTAACTGTCCATGAATTGGTTTTTCTTGAGCCATACTTATAAGCATTTTTATTCATATTCATATCCACAACAAAAGGAAGTTCATATTTTTATCTTGCATCACAGCTATGATTTGAAATACCAGGTGTTATTTGTAGGAGAATAGATAAAATAACTTGTAGTATGTAGCAAATTCTTAAATGATACTTAGAGGTAGTGAGGAAACAATGAGTTCAGGCAAGTGGGAAGGTGGAAGATGCTGAGAGCTATAAAAAGAGAATAAGCCTGTCAACAAACAGAAGAAAGAGACAGTGGACCTCAATCCTGTAGGATTCTGAGGAGAGTAGTGGTGGTAGTGGCTATCATTTAAGCTGAGGAATCTTATAGCCTAGGGTGAAAGTCTCCATGCATATTCCAGGGATAGCTCTCTCCAAGGATCCTCAAAAGGATAGGTTATGGGGAGCAGAGACAGGCACACAGAGCCTGGTATTGCACTCTAAGACTCAGATGCCCCATATTGTGCCTCTACCAAAATAATTAAGCTCAAACCCTCTGTGAATGCCTAGCTTAAAAGTCTGGGTATGATAATTCTTCCTCTAGAACAGTCCTAAGGGTGTTGGGGGAAAGGGATGGCCACATAGGCAACTTTATCTCATGAAATTCAATGATTAAAATGCACAATTGGGGCTTCCCTGGTGGCGCAGTGGTTGAGTCTGCCTGCCGATGCAGGGCACACGGGTTCGTGCCCCGGTCAGGGAGGATCCCACATGCCGCGGAGCGGCTGGGCCCGTGAGCCATGGCCGCTGAGCCTGCACGTCCGGAGCCTGTGCTCCGCAGCGGGAGGGGCCGCAAGCAGTGAGAGGCCCGCGTACAGCAAAAAAAAAAAAAAAAAAAATGCACAATTGCTGTGAAGAAAGGAAGATTAGGAAGGTATAGAAACAAACAGATTGTGGAAAATGAAAGCAGACAACTGTCAGAAACGTTCTTTCTGCAATTGAAGTAAGGGGCTTCTCCCAGAAGGTAGCACTAGTGATTAGAACTGAACACTTGTGAACATTTCAGAGATCATTTGGTTTGAGGTAGGTTGACTGGAACTCACACCTGGGATATAAACATGAGAAAGGGAGTGTTCAAATGGTTTAAATGAGACAGGAGTAGGTGAAGGAGGATAAGTAAGAAGACATCTCTGGATTGGTGAGAAAAGCAGATGGTTTTATGCCTTAGAAACTGGCTAGTAGGGGAAAAGGTCATATATATAGTTTTTAAACATCATAGTAGCCTATATGTTCACCTTCTTTTCATTACATTGGTAAACATGCCAATTTAATACAAGAATAGGTTCTGATTTTAGAATCTGGTGGTCAGGAAATGATGGGGTATCAAAAGAACTGTAGCATGTTCTCCTCGGAGCGAACAAGACAGGGATTACACTCTCCCTGATGAGCTTTCTAAGTGACTTTTTAAAGGAGGTTTGTGCATTCTGTGTTTAGAAGCACAGAGAACCTTGGAATGGAAAATCAGTTTTCCCTCTTGTCTGTTAGTCTGCATCCTGGCACTGGATGACTCTACCTAAGTCAGAGAAATTTGGCCTGCAGTCAAGACTGGATCCCAGGGCTGTGGGACCTGACGTTCCTGTACCCCAGGTCTGAGATTTTGTCTGTATCAGATTGCCATCTGATTGCAGACTCTTTCCCTTACACTAAAAGGTGCAGGGTTCTAACTACGAGAGTGAGAATTCTGTATAAGCCTGAAATCACTTTTCAACATGAACCATTTGAGATAATAGATCACATTTTACAATATTAAGGAAAATAACCCAAGGAAATTAAAAGAAAACAGATCCATGGCCATTAGATAGGACTGTCTCAGAAAGAAGACCAAAAAACCAAAAAACACGTTCAAGTAGGGCAACTTCATATAATCATTTTAAGCTTTTAAATCACAAGTCTGAGCTGTAGGAATGTCTTTGTTGATAAATGCAGAGGAAGGATCAGCCATTGGAACCATTTATCTTGCATTTGTTCAAAGCACTGAATAAATTACAGCAAAATTTTTAGAGTTTGGAATTTTACTGTGATGTGACAAGTACTCAAAATCAAAGATTTGTTGAATTTGCAAATAATATATATATTTTTATAGTGATTGACCCTTCTTCTAAATCTGTAATTTAAAAGGGGAGGGGGGGATACCGCTGGCGGGATCCGGGTTTCCAAGAGTGAGGGCTGCTCGGCTGGTCAAGGCGGCCACCGGCTGGAGCCATGACCCCGAACCTGCGCACCGCGCTCATTTTTGGCTGCTTCATTTCCCTGATCGGCGCCGCCTTCTACCCCATCTACTTCCGGCCCCTAATGCGGCTAGAGGAATACCAGAAGGAACAAGCCATAAATCGAGCTGGTATTGTCCAAGAAGACGTGCAGCCACCAGGGTTAAAAGTGTGGTCGGATCCATTTGGCAGGAAATGAAAAGGCTATCACCACCTCTGATTATGAAAGTAGACAGAGTCTTCATGCTTTCAGTTCTGCAGCAAGTACAGTAAATCACATGGCTAAAGAACGATGGCTGGAGAAGAAAACTCTAGAAGGCTGTAAAGAAGAGTAGTGTGCACCAGGATTAATTCCCTTCTTAAGTATCCAAAGAACCCTGAAACAAATCACATTACGAAGGTTTTCATGATTTGGTTTCCTTTCTAAAAATGAAGCTTTCTCACCCAGCTGCATTTGGAGGTGATCTACTTATTATTCAGTCTCTACCTCTTACCCACCTGAGCTTCAATATGAATACAAGCAACCAGTAGACTTGGGAAGATCCTAGTCTGTTTTGCCATCTTCCAAATAAGAAGTTTCAGTGAAAAACCACCATATTGAGCAGCCTCATAGGGCTCTTTGAAAATGTTGAAGTTGATAAAACTCTTTGAGGACAAGGTACATTGTACTCTTTAAGAATAAAGAGTTCAACTCAGCTATCTCATTGGGAGGGTTGCTGCATTTTGAAAAATAAATAACTATGAAGCAAATCAAACTAAATGGGTATGCATGCCTAGTAGAAATCATGTTGAATTAACTGAGTGAAAATATGTATATTAAAATGATTTCTTTTTACTTCAAATAAAATAAAATAAAAGGGGAGGGGTCTTCCCTAGTGGTACAGTGGTTAAGAATCCACCTGCCAATGCAGGGGACACGGGTTCAAGCCCTGGTCCGGGAAGATCCCACATGCTGCGGAGCAACTAATCCCGTGCGCCCCAACTACTGAGCCTGTGCTCTAGAGCCCACGAGCTACAACTACTGAAGCCCATGTGCCTAGGGCCTATGCTCTGCAGCAAGAGAAGCCACCACAATGAGAAGCCCACGCACTGCAACGAAGAGTAGGCCCCGCTCGCCGCAACTAGAGGAAGCCCACACGCAGCAACGAAGACCTGACGCAGCCAAAAATAATAAACAAAATTTAAAAAAATAAAAATAAAAGGGGAGGAAAAGTAACCAAACAAAGCAATTTCACATTCTTCACTTCCAAGTTCTGGTTGAAGGTATTTGAAAGATCAGGATGGTGTTCCGTCTCTGGTGATTTAGACATGTTTTCAAAAACCAAAAGTAATCCAAGAGTATTGTTATTAATATACGTGTTATTCTTCACAAATTTATAGATAACAGCTGCCACCAATTTTGCTGGCTACATAGGGATATCTGTCTGTGGATGCTTCTTTTTATGGTTTCATTCTCTGAATATTTATGTCATAAGCCAAGTTTGCTTAACTATTTTATTAAGTACGCTTCTTATTTTGGAATAATTTTATGTGTATAGAAAATTTACAAAGAGTGTGTAGCAAGTTCTCATATACACTTCACCCATCTTCCCCTAATGTTTAACATCTGTAAGTGGGTGGAATCTTGGCCTGCAAAATATATGTCCACATCCCAACCTCCAGAATCTGTGAATGTGACCTTATTTGGAGAAAGAGTCTTTGCTGATGTAATTAAATTAAGGATTTTAAGATGAGATTGTTCTAGATTATCTGAATGGGCCTTAAATCCAATGACAGAGATCCTTATAAAAGACACAAAGAGGAGAAACATATAGAGAGAAGAGGACAGGGCTCGTTTTTTCACCAATATTCCTTTTTGGGCCTAGGATCTAATCCAGAGTACCACATTGCATTAGTTGTCATGTCTCTCTGGTCTCCTCTGGTCTGTGACAGTTTCATAGTCCTTCTTTGTTTTTCATGATCTTGATAGTCTTGAGCAGCACTGGTCAGATATTTTGTAGAATATCCCCCACTATGGGTTTGTCTGCTATGTTTTTCATGATTAGACTGGGTTATGAGTTCTGGGCAAGAATACCACAGGGTTGTAGTGACCCTTTCATTACATCATAAGGGATATATATATCCACATGACTTACCCCTGCTGATGTTCATCTTGACCACTTAGGTGTGGTAGAGTTTTCCAGGTTTCTCCATTGTGAAGGCACTATTTTCCCTTTCTGTACTCTATTCTTTGGAAATAAGTCTTTAAGTCCAGCCCACACTCAAGTAGGTGAGAGATTAAGCTCTACCTCCTTGGAGTGTGGGGAGGATAGTATGTATTAGAATTTTTCTGTAAGAAATATGCCTTCTTCCTCCCTTTCTTCCATCATTTATTTATATCAGTATCAATATATGTATATTTATTTTATAATCCAATTCTACATTATGATCTAATACAACATTATTTTTTTTGCCCAAATTATTCTAGCTTTTCTGGGTCTTATTTTTATTATTATTTTTATTACATTGTATGGTATTAATTTAGGCTTTCTTTTTGTTCCTGGTCCATTAGCTATCTGTTGCCACATAACAAATTACCCCTAAGCTTAGCTGCTTAAAACAACAAACATTATTATCTTAGGGCTTCTATGGGTCAGCAATCTGGGTGTGACTTAACTGTGTGCCTCTGGACCCTCACAAGTCTGCAATCAAGGTGTAAGTTGGATCTGTAATCTTCTGAAGCCTCAACCGGGGAGGATCTGCTTTCCCATGCTGACACACATGTTGTTGGTAGCCCTCAGGTCCTTGCTAACTGTTGCATGTAGCCATAAGCTTCTTGCCATATAAGCAAGAACCAGTCATAGACAGCTCACAACATGGCAGCTGGCTTCCCTCAAAGCAAGAGACTGAGAGAGGGTGCCCTAGAGGGAAACTGTAGTCTTTTTGTAACCTCATCTTGCAAGTGACAGTCTGTCACTTTTGCCCACGTTCAAGGGGAGGGGATAATAGAATGGCATGAATATGAGGAGGTGGAATCCCTGAGGGCCATTTTAGAGGCTGCCCACCGCACCCAGTGTTGCACTCTTGTAGTCACTCACTTTACTTCACTAGAATGGACAGAAGGAGAAGAGAAGGGGGAAGCTTTGAAAAACAAAACCCCAGTGGATTAAATGTTTTGCTTGCAATAATTTTCAACATCGTGTCACATACTACATGGTATCTACCTCCTATTATTGGTCATTTGCGCATTTATTTATTCATTCATTTAGGAGTATATGACATGTAACTTCAAATCCATTGTGACATTTCTGATCCCAGAATGTGGTCTGTCTGAAGTCTTTGGAAAACCTTTTTTTCTTAATTAGATAGCACCTGTGTGCTTATAGGTCATTTAAGCCCAAACACCACAGTCCCATTTCCACCAGGTGTCATGTGAGCAGAAGTGGAACAATTATTAATTGTAATTGAAGCTAAATGTAATTACTTTTATAACCTTGAGTTGTTCACATTGAATTCATAAACATTTCATAATGAAACTAGGGAATTACGAAGAATTACTGACAATAACACCAGTAATTCTTCCATTTGAACTCAATTCATCTTTAGATCCATAACCTTTAAATAAAGTCATTTATTTGTGTCTTCTAGTTAAAAAAAAAATTCATGCTCCCTGCAGAACACTCGAAAATGAAGAAAAGCCCAAAGGAAAACAACAAAACCACTCCAAACTTTATAGCATAGTGTTAACATTTTGATGCATAGAATTTCCACATTATTTTATACATATTTATGTATACATATATTTAAAACCATTGGTATCAAATCTGTAGAATATTTAGAAATGTATTCTGAATATTTTCCTAACTAAATCATTATTTTAGCAAGGATCCACTTGGCTTACCATTATTGTCACTGAAATACCTATGCATGTGAGTTTCTGCTCTGTGGACACCTCTGCACTCATCCAGTAAACATCTATTAACTGCTTACTATTGGCCAGGCAGTGTGTTGATGGCACATGATAGAGAGCCTAGCGCAGTGGAGAGCACCTGCCAGGGATTTGGAAAACTCAATATTTCTTCCAGTTCTGCTACTAATTGTCTCATGTCGTTGGACAGATAAAAACCAATAGCTAACATATATTGAACATTCACTATAAGCTAGCTACTGTTCAAAACCATTCATTTACACTCTTCACTTATTAAGTTTAATCACAACAGCTCAACAATGTAGATACTATTATAACCATACTCATTTTGTAGAGGAAAAGATTGAGGCCAGAGAGGTTAAGGAACGTACCCAAACTCACATAGCTAGTAGGTAGTGAAGGCAGGATTTAACCCTTGTAGCTGATTCCAGAGGTTATGTTCTTAATCACTACTGTATACATTTTTTTTTCTTTTTGTGGTACGCGGGCCTCTCACTGTTGTGGCTTCTCCCATTGCGGAGCACAGGCTGCAGACGTGCAGGTTCAGCGGCCATGGCTCACGGGCCCAGCCGCTCCGTGGCATGTGGTATCCTCCCGGACCGGGGCACGAACCCATGTCCCCTGCATCGGCAGGTGGACTCTCAACCACTGTGTTACCAGGGAAGCCCTACTGTATACTTTTGAAGTGACTCTGAGCCCTCTGGGCCTTAGTTTCCTCATTGGAAAAATATATAAGTTGTCCTAAAAGTAGATGGTCCCCTATGTCCTCTGCTTGTTTGCATGTATAATAGCATTTTATCATATGCATAATTAACTTACTCAACTTCAAAATTTCCTCAAATGAAGAGAGCAGGAGATTGGTTCAAAATGGCGGAGTAGAAGGACCTGCTCTCGCTCCCTCTTGCGAGAGCACTGAAATCACAACTAACTGCTGAACAATCATTGACAAGAAGACACTGGAACTCACCAAAAAAGATACCCCACATCCAAAGACAAAGGAGAAGCCACAATGAGATGGTAGGAGGAGCGCGATCACAATAAAATCAAATCCCATAACTGCTGGGTTGGTGACTCACAAACTGGAGAACAC